CCCAACCCCTCCTATCTCAGTAAAACACTGTACTACAATATGACTTTGCCTTCTCCCTTGTCCAGCTCTGGAGTCTGTTTCTCCAACCTCTCAAATCGAGGCTAGCCTATAACTTGCTTTGCCCAATGGAATATGGTGGAAATGACATAATGTAACTTTGGGGGTTAAGCTTTAAAAGGCCTTGTGTCTTCTATTTCTCTTCTCTCAGAAAACTTCCCTGAGACAGTTAGGGAAGGCAGCTGAACTAGCCTACTGGCAGATGAGAGGCCACATAGAGAAAAACTGAAGAATCTCAGCCAAAAGCCAGAACCAATGGCCAAACATGTGAGTGAGGTCATTTTGCACCTTCCAGTCCAGCTAAATCTCTAGCTGAAACAACACATATGCAAATCCGGGCAGAATCAGCATGGGAATCTCCAAACTAATGATCAGACATATTACAAATCATGATTGTTTTAATTCACTGGATGTTGGTATGGTTTGTCGTATTGCAAAGGGTAACTGTAAAACCTTTATTAAGATCTCGTGTAATACTGAAGGTGGTGCATAGTAGATGCTCTCAGGAAGATAAAAGGTCTGACCCTCTGCATCCTCTTAGGGAGTCAGAATTAGAAGATCTGACTCGAAAATAATTACGGATGCAGCTGTTGTATCGTAGTGAAACTTTCATCAACTCCATAAAAATCCCATGAAATTTTTAAAATTGTATTTTATTTAAACTCAATCAATTATACAGTGTATCATTAGTTTCAGAGGTAGAGTTCAGTTACTCATCAGTTGCAGATAACACACAGTGCTCATTATATCACGTGACCTCCTTAATGCCCATTACCCAGTTACCCCATCCCCCACCCACCTCCCCTCCAGCAACCCTCAGTTAGTTTCCTAGAGTTAAGAGTCTCTTGTGGTTTGCCTCCCTCTCTGATTTCATCTTTTTTATTTTTCCCTCCATTCTTCAATGATCCTCTTTTGTTTCTTAAATTTCACATATGAGTGAAATCACATGACAATTGTCTTTCTCTGATTGACTAATTTCACTCTGCATAATACTCTCTCATTCCATTCACATCGTGCAAATGGTAAGATTTCATTTTTGATGGCTGAGTAATATTCCATTTTATATATATCACATCTTCTTTATCCATTCGTCTTGTCAGTGAACATCTGGTCTCTTTCCATAGTTTGCCTATCGTGGACATTGCTGATATAAACATTGGGGTGTAGGTGCCCTTCGAATCACTACGTTTGTATTCTTTGAGTAAATACCTAGTAGTGCAATTGCTGGGTTGTAGGGTAGCTCTATTTTTAACTTTTTAAGGAAACTCCATACCATTTTCCAGAGTGACTGTACTAGTTTGCATTCCCACCAACAGTGTAAACCCACAAAATTTTTGAGACTCATATTAGTGAAAATGCTGGCAATTTGAATTAAAAGGGATTTTGTCAAAATGGCCTCCCAGCTTCCTATATTCAGGAAACAGGCTACAAAGAGCTAAACATCTGCAAACATGGGCCAGTTGTCTTCTTTTGTTTTAACAGCTCTCTTGAGACATAATTCACATACCATAAAATTGACTCATTTAAAATGTACAATTATTTTTATTTACAAATTTGAAACCATCATTACAATTTTAGAATATTTTTATCACCTCAATTGAATAAAAACATGTGATTTAGCTATTACCTCCCATACCTCCCCCCCTACCATCCTTTCCAGCCCTAAGCAACCATTAACCTATTTTCTGTCTTTTAAGGTTTTATTATTACAGACATTTCGTATAAGTGGATAATACAATATGTGGTCTTCTGTCACTGGCATTTTTTACTTAGCATAATGTGCTGAAGGTTTGTCCATGTTGTAGCCTATGTCAGTACTTCATTCTTTTTTATGGCCAAATAATACTCCATTGTATGGACAGGTCATATTTTGTTTATCCAAATATACAATTGATGGGCTCTGGGTTAATTCTACCTTTTGGCTCTTATGAATATTGTGGAGTAACATTTGTGTTCAAGTTTTTGTGTAGACTTATGTTTTCATTTCTGTTGGCTATATCTCTAGGAGTGGAATATCTGGATCATATGGTAAATCTACATTTAATCATTTGAAGGAACTGTCAGATTGTTTTCCAAAGTAGTGATTTTGCTTTCCCACTAGTAGTCCACAAGCGTTCTTGTTTCTCCCCATCTTTGCCAACACTTGTTATTATCTTACATTTTGATTCTAACCTAGTGGGTATGAAGTAGTATCTCATTGTGGATTTGATTTGCATTTACTTGATGACTAATCAGCAGCAGCATATCTTCATATGCTTATCAGCCATTTGTATGTCTTCCTTGGAAAAATGTCTATTCAGATCCTTTGCCCTTTTGAGTTAGATTATTTGTCATTTTTATTACTAAGTTGTAAGAATTCTTTATATATTCTAGATATAATTTCCTTATCAGATATACAGTTTTCAAGTATATCTAGTCTTTAGGCTGTCTTGCCACCTTCTTGATAGTATTCTTTGAAGCACAAAAAATTTTTTTATTTAAATTCAGTTAACCAACATATAGTACATCATTAGTTTCAGATGTAGAGTTCAGTTATTCATCAACAGCATATAACACCCAGTGCTCATCACATCACGTGCCCTCCTTAATGCCCATCACCTAGTTACCCCACCCTCCACCCACCTCCCCTCCACAGCCCTCAGTTTGTTTCCCAGAGTCAAAAGCCTCTCATGGTTTGTATCCTTCTCTGATCTCTTCCCATTAGTTTTCTCTCCATTTCCCTATGATCCTCTGCACTCTTTCTTATAATCCACCTATATGTGAAACCATATTTGATAATTTTCTTTCTCTAATTGACTTATTCACTTAGCATAATACCATCCAGTTCCATCCATGTTGATGTAAATGGTAGGTATTCATCCTTTCTGATGGCTGAGTAATATTCCATTGTATATATAAACCACATCTTCTTTATCCATCCCTCTGTTGAAGGACATCTTGGCTCCTTCCACAGTTTGGTTATTGTGGACACTGCTGCTGTGAACACTGGGGTGCAGGTGCCCCTTCTTTTAACTACATCTGTATCTTTGAGGCAAATACCCAGTAGTTCAATTGCTGAGTCATAGGGTAGCTCTATTTTCAACTTTTTGAGGAACCTCCATACTGTTTTCCAGAGTGGCTATACCAGCTTGCATTCCCACCAACAGTGTAGGAGGGTTCCCTTTTCTCCACCCTCTCGCCAATATTTGTTGTTCTCTGTCTTGTTAATTTTAGCCATTCTAACTGGTGTAAAGTGGTATCTCATTGTGGATTTAATTTATGTTTCCCTAATGACATTAGGAGCATTAGCATTCCCTAATGATATTAGGAGCATTTTTTCATGTGTCTGTTGACTTATTCGTATGTCTTCTTTGGAGAAATGTCTGTTCACGTCTTCTGCCGATTTCTTGACTGGATTATTTGTTTTTTGGGTGTTGAGTTTGATAAGTTCTTTGTAGATCTTGGACGCCAGTCCTTTATCTGATATGTCATTTGCAAATATCTTTTCCCATTCTGTAGGTTGCCTTTTAGTTTTGTTGACCGTTTCCTTTGTTGTGCAGAAGCTTTTTATCTTGAAAAGGTCCCAATAGTTCATTTTTGCTTTTGTTTCCTTTGTTTTTATAGACATGTCTTGCAAGAAGTTGCTGTGGCCGAGGTTGAAGAGGTTGCTGCCTATGTTCTCCTCTAGGACTTTTATGGATTCCTGTCTCACATTTAGGTCTTTCATCCATTTTGAGTTTATCTTTGTGTATGGTGTAAGAGAATGGTCCAGTTTCATTCTTCTGCATGTGGCTGTCCAATTTTCCCAACACCATTTATTGGATATTGGATATTCTTTCCTGCTTTGTCAAAGATTAGTTGACCATAGAGTTGAGGGTCCGTTTCTGGGCTCTGTATTCTGTTCCATTGATCTACGTGTCTGTTTTTGTGCCAGTACCATGCTGTTCTTGATCATCACAGCTTTCTAATATAGTCGGGCATTGTGATGCCCCCAGCTTTGGTTTTCTTTTTTAACATTCCCCTGGCTATCTGGAGTCCTTTCTGGTTCCATACAAATTTTAGGATTGTTTGTTCCAGCTCTGTGAACAACCTTGATGGTATTTTTGATAGGGATTGCATTGAATTTGCAGATTGCTTTGGGTAGGATAGACATTTTAACAATATTTATTCTCCCAATTCATGAGCATGGAATGTTTTTCCATCTCCTTGTGTCTTCCTCAATTTCTTTCCTAAACGTTTTGTAGCTTTTAGAGTACAGATCTTTTACTTCTTTGGTTAGGTTCATTCCTAGGTATCTTATGGTTTTTGGTGCGATTGTAAATGGGATTGAGTCCTTAATTTCTCTTTCTTCATTCACGTTGTTAGTGTACAGAAATGCAACTGATTTCTGTGCATTGATTTTGTATCCTCCTACATTGCTGAATTTCTGTATGAGTTCTAGCAATTTGGGGGTGGGGAGTTTTATGGGTTTTCACATAAAGTATCATGTCATCTGTGAAGAGTGAGAGTTTGACTTCTTTGCCAATTTGAATGCCTTTTATTTCTTTATTTTGATGAAGCTCAATTTATCTGTTTTTTGTTTTGTTGCTTAAGTTTTGGGGTCATATCTAAAAACCCATTGCCACTTCTGAAATCATGAAGATTTACCTCTGTTTTCTTCTAAGAATTCCATAGTTTTAGCTCTTACACATAGATTATTTTATCCATTTTGAGTTAATTTTTTTAAACATTTTACCTTTTTCTTTTAAGATTTTATTTATTTATTCATGAGAGACAGAGAGAGAGAGAGAGAAGCAGGCTCCCAAGGAGCAGGGAGCCCGATGCGGGACTCAATCCCAGGACCCTGGGATCATGACCCGAGCAGAAGGCAGACGCTTAACCATCTGAGCCACCCAGGCACCCTGAGTTAATTTTTATATAGTGTGAGATAAGGATCCAATTTCATTCTTCTGCATGTGACTATATCTAGTTGTCCCAGAGTCATTTGTTGAAAACACTATTCTTTTCCCATTGAATGGTCTTGGCATCTTTGTCAAAAACTAATTGTCCACAGACACCTAGACACACAACTCTTATTGGAGTCATGAGAAGGAATGGACTGGGAGTCTTATATAAATTGTATGGAGAAGAGTGATGCCTCTTTTCAGTAAGTCCTTTCCTGAAACACAAAAGATGGGGGGGACTGATTAACCATCACTGTTTTCCAGGAATACCGAGCTCAGGTAAAGTCCAACATTGTCAATCCCTCCTTTTGCTCAATATGAAGGAATATAATAGGTTTCTGAACAACTAAAGTACAAACCTCCTGAGTGAGACAAGGCAGGATCTCTCTAGGACTTTTGCTGGTGTTGTTCCTATAAAATAAGTTGAACCGTCAGCTGAGAGGTTATAGCTAAGGTCAATTGTTTCAGAATCTTGAAGTCCAGACATTTTAAACAGGGATACCTGAAATGAAAAAGAGAAAATATTAATATAAAAAATTGAATTAAAGCAAATAACTAGGAGTCGACCCTGTGAGTCACAGGTTTAATGGATTCCAAGAGGCTGGTGGAAGAAAATCTTTCGATTAAGCAGTACTGATGTGGAAATACATGAAGGCCACCCTAATGAGAATGAGCAAAGACTATTTATTCAGAGCTTGCTATTGTGTGGGAGTCAGCCACCATCACTTACACTTGGCAGAGACTCAAGGCAGGGAGATTAGTGGGCGAGCCGTATAGTAGACTAAAAGGGAAGAAGGACTTTAGGTATGCCCTGATAGGAAGCTGTTGGCATGAAGAAGTCGGAATGAGACTAACTAGAATTAGGGCATGCTATGTAACAAATTAGGGGAGCATTTTTGGCTTTTTATAGTTGGTCTTAAATTGGAAATGAGAGATAAAAATTTGGGAAGCAGGCAGTTATTAACCAAGATCTGACCATTGGGTCAGTTGCTGCAGAGATGGTGATTTGGCTACCAGGTTAATTGCTACTGAGGCTGTGGATCAGAACTCTATTTTTATAGATAGTCTGGTTATTGCCTATTTGCATATTCAGTCACCTAGTTCAACCATTTCTTACTTTTCAGCCATTAACTTACTTGCAATAAGTTGACCAGTTCAGGGAAAGCTAGTGATCCAGATCTTCACTGCTCAGAGATTGTTAGTTGCCTCCATCGTCAGCCACATGAAAGATCTTCCTGATCTTTCTTCATTGGGATTATCTGATGAAAGAGCAGCTGTGTGAGAACATTCAAGGTTCTGGATGGAATGCAACAGATCAGCATAATGGCCAGATGACAAAAACAAGAACAATTAATAATCCCTTATAAAATGCTTCAAAACAAATCCCAGTTGCCCAGCCCAAGCCAAGAAAACAAATACCATCAGCCATGAGGACTGACTTTAGAAAGCCAAATAGCTTTCTCCCTAAAGCAATGTATAGCCTGTTCCACCCTGACTCCTTTGTTAATCCTAGTACAGCAAGAACTATTAGCAGTAGCACAAGTACCACTATTACTAGCCAAAAAGAAATTTATAGCAATGCAATTGTCCATCATGCCAATGAGTTGAAACTGATCTGTGTTCCATCTAAGCAAGAGATGGTATCATTAATAAGTTCTGCAAATTAGTGCTAAGTTTCTTTTTTTTTTTAAAGATTTTATTTATTTATTTGAGAGAGAGAATGAGATGGAGAGAGAGAGCATGAGAGGGGGGAGGGTCAGAGGGAGAAGCAGACTCCCTGCTGACAGCAGGGAGCCCGACGCGGGACTCGATCCTGGGACTCCAGGATCATGACCTGAGCCGAAGGCAGTCGCTTAACCAACTGAGCCACCCAGGCGCCCCTAGTGCTAAGTTTCTTACACCTTTTTCTATTTGTGTGATTCCCACTGATGGGAATATTATCATGAACAATGATTCAGTAATTCCTACAGCCATGTCCTGAATAATCAAAAGTGGCTCCATTTTGAAGGTTTTGTCCGAGTTGGAATTTCTAGCTGCAGTGATTTATAGAATTAGGGTTTCTCTTTATAGACACATATTGGACTACTATTCTTAAAGGCGTTAGTGTGAAACAGAGTCAGGTTTCCTGGTCACAAACAATGTAGCACCAGTAGGGACACATGAGATCTAGGGAAAAAATGAGTTATACATGTCACAAGGTCAAAACAAAGGCCTTATATCATTTGGGTTACATATTTGGATCCCTGTTAATTTCATCCCTCTGGCAAGCATTTGGTCCATTGCCCTGAGAAGATTGTGGGAAATAAAGTTTAAAATTATGTAGGGTCTGGTTAATACATTGTAATAGTTGGTGCTTTTTCACACATAGACACTGATAAAGTCACAGGCTTATTTGTTTAAGGTCATTTTTCCATGTAGGTGGAAATAGAAACATCATTCTGTATAGTCTCGTTAGACCGTTCCTCATGGTCCCATTTGGTGAGACTGGAATTGCCCAGAGGTTTTATAATGGAATGCAGCGATAGATGGCATATCCAGCTGTCAATAAGACTGAAGGTTGTGGCTACTGTTTGAGATAGTCTGATGATGGCATTAGAATGAATATGTTCTGACCTAACAATTACATAAGGAGAGGAAAAAAGGAGAGAAAAGGCCATTATGTGGGAATGACAACCAAGACTCTATAGGATAAAGATAATGATGATTAGCAGACAGATAAAACAGGAATCAGACAGGTCTCGGGCCAACACTCTAGGCAGAAACTACTCATTGTCTGAAGCCACCTGCTTGTTCCAAAGGTATTCTGCGAGCTGTATCCTTCCCAAGATCATTTGGTCTACAAGATCTCTGAGTGTCCTCAATTTGAAATCCCCAGTTAGAGTAACCTTCCAATGGTGTGGAATTCTTAATTGCTTCTTTAATTGTTAAACATGAAACCAAGCATTGACTCTCTGGCATTTCACTGTTTAATTTGTTGTTAATAGTATCCGATAAAGTTCCTTCCACTGAGATCAATGGCAGTGGTTTTTCTCTGATGTATCTTCCAATAGAAAAAATAGCCTAGTTGAACATCACGAAGATTTGGAAAAATGTTTTGGGGAGGTACTCTTAACCACTGGTGATAGAACTGGGTATCATATAAGAGTCCTCGTAAATCTTTTGCCATTTCACCATGCAGTAGGGTGGAATCTAATATCGGAGGTAAAATTCTCAAATGTGTTTATCTTGCAATTACCAATTCACATGGGGATAACTGATGTGTCCCTAAAGGAGTGAATTGTATGGCCATAAGAGCTGCTAGTGAGAGTACTTTTGGCCAAGAGAGCTCAAGGATTTCTGAAAGTTTCGTTAATTAAATTTAAGGACTTCCACCAGTCTTTTCAACCTTTTCAGAAGATTTGTGGGTGATAAGAACGGTATAGTTTGTTTTTTTTTTTAATTTAAAAAAATTTTTTTATTATGTTAATCACCATACATTACATCATTAGTTTTTGATGTAGTGTTCCATGATTCATTGTTTGTGTATAACACCCAGTGCTCCATTCAGTACGTACCCATCACCAGGCTAACCCTAACTTTTAAGCTAGGGTAACATCTTATAGAATTTTCTCACAAGGTTGTCAGTTAAGTGTGCATCCTGATCACTTGATATAAAAGTCGAGATGCTCCAGGTTGAAAACACAAAAATCAAGCAGTTTTTTAGTAACCATTAGGCCTGTAGCTTTTCAGCGAAGAAATGCTGCAGCTCATCCTGAATATAGATATACTAAACCATATTCAAATCCCATATAGGCTGAAGCTAGTTAAAATCCATCTGAAGGTGTTCAAAGTGCCATTGAGGGTCCCGGGTGGGTCTCCCCTTTACCATTTTTCCAGGATTAAGTTGTTGACAGGTGACTCATGACCTGAAAATAACCTCAGCTGTCTTTTTAAAGTTTTCTCACCGGTGTTAATAATCAATTCATTTATTCCATGACGAGTAGTTTCATGAAGAAATTTAATTAATATCCATTTGAACTTATCTGATTTAACCAGGTGGCCATCTTGAGAGTGCCAGAGATCATCTGAGTAAAAGATGCAACCAGATCCTTCCTTTTCAAAATCAGATACTATATATTGATATTTTTAATGGCCTTTTGGAAAGCCTCCAGAGATATATCCTTTGACGGTTTAGGTAGGATCATAATCTTGGTTAAGGCAGCATTTTTAGCATAATGAGCTGCTAGAGAATTTTCTTTAGCTTCTGTTTTTATCTCTTTTTTACATGGGCCTCAATCTTTATAACAGCCATCCCTCTAGGAACCTAAAATTTCCTTAACTTGTCCGTTTTTAGGAGGATACCAGCAGAGCTGAGAACCCCCTTTGTTATGATTAAAGGATCCCAGAGTCTTGTGCTACTCCAAAAGCAGATCTGCTATCTGTATATACGTCTATTCTCTGACCATTAGCTAGGTGAAAAGCTCTAGGAAGTGCAGTAAGTTTTGCCATCTGGGCTGATTTTACTTGAGGTAAAGGACTATATTCTAAAGAACAATCTTCTTAAGTCACTGATAGCTTATCCTGCTTGATAACCTCGTCTCAGTTGAGGAATAGTCCCTCAACAAATAATATTAGGTCAGATTTCTCAATGGGATCTCTAATACATTGCACATCTGCAAAGTACAGAAAGATCCCTAACTGAAGTAAGACAATTATCTTGTCGCCATTCTTTTAGAAGCAGGAGAGTGGCAGGTTTCAGGTTGTTTCAGGGATGTAGAGTAATGTGAGAGGAGAGAGTAACAGAATCTCTTAAGATGCACTGAAAAGTGCTGCGTGTTCTCGGTCAATAGTAATGTCTGTGTTGCATGAGGAACCATGAGGTTAAGTAGAGAGCCTAGAACTAGTTCAGCAGAAGCATCGACAAGTTTTGCCATGACACTGATTACCTGAAGTCAAGGGGTAAAAGCCTTTACAACTGGGTCAAGGGTGAGTCAATAGTAAGAAACTGGTTTTTGATGATTCCTATGAAATTGAGATGAAACCCAAAGGGCTTGTTCAAATTGTTCCTGCATAATTCGATGAAATGGCTTTTGTAGTTAGGAGTGCCTAAGGAAGGAGGTTATTATAGGGCCTTCTTTAGGTTACAGAAGACCTGTTGTATCGGCTCCCAGATCAGAGTCTCTGACTGAAGACTCAGACAATTTATAAAGAAGTGTTGCAATCACAGAAAAGTTTGGTACCCGTTGCCTTCAATTTCCAGTTAAGCCTAGAAATCCTCCCAGTTGTCACCTTGAAAGAGGTCCAGAATAAGTTTGGATAGTCTTTAATCTATCAGGAGAGTGTTTCCCTTCCTTAGCTGGGTCATTTCCAAATAAAGGACTGTGTTGTGGAACAGTTGTAATGTATCTTTTGAAGCATCATGTTCCTTTCCTGTTAAGGCTGACAATAAGCAAATGATCCTTTTTACAAGCTTCCTTGTTCCCTGAACAAAGTAAGAGATTTATATTAATTATATTATATATTATATTGTGTCAGAACTGAATCACAAAGGAAATTTGGATCTTATAAATCCTGATTAAGGACCTGAGAAAAATAGTGGATGGCTTCAGTGCACCCCTGAGGCATGACTGCCCAGGGATGTCGTTGCCCTCCTTGGTGGAAGGCAAAAAGGTGTTGACTCTCTTGATCTAGAGACATGCTGAAAAAGGCAAAGCAAAGATCCACTACAGTGAAGAAAGTGACTGTAGGCATAATAGATGACAGTATGCTATCTGAATTACATACTACACAGAAACAAAAGATAAAAATTTTGTTGATGGTCTTGAAGTCTTGAACAATTTATATCTTCATCCATTTGATTTCTTTTTTGGCAGGATAAGAGTGTTACAAGGGCTACTACAGACCATAAGAAGATTTTTGAATATATGGTTTTTAAATATAGGTTTGAGCTCTTCCTTTTTGTTTGGCCTTAAAGAATATTGGGAAAGTTTGGGTGACGGTTTGGTAAGATCTATTTGAATTTTAATATGTTCTCTTCCAATTCCATTCCAATTCCGATGCTGGAATTTTTATCCCATAAAGTGTCAGGTATGGTGTCATTATCTTTATCAGAGGAATGCATTAAATATTATTTAGAAGGTAAAGGTATATCCAGAGCAAAAACAACTTGATTATGAATAGAGGAGTCCTCTCAAATCCCAAGAAATAGTTCCTCTCATGTGCATTTGCAAAGCCCATTTGCAAAATATATATCTACTTATTAACTACTTATTAACTCTGCAAGGGTGGCATCACAGAACAAAACAAGGAATGTTTTTCAGTCAAGGATATAAGGGTTACAGTTAAGGGCTGTGGATTATTTAAAATACCTTCTCCTGTGTGCTATGTTTTCTCTGAGGAAGAGTTTGAATAATGGTGGTAGTATTTAACATAGAAAGAGTAGTACCCATTATCTACCAGGAATTAGTGAGGTTGGCCATTTATATTTGTAATTCACTTTGTTTGCTTAAAAGTAATCCAGAATATTGAATGCATTTTCCTTCCTTATTGATCTAAATTGAAGGGGGTTTTTTTTGTTTGTTTGTTTTGTTTTTTTCTTTTGTTAAGATGAGACGATTTTTTCCAGTGTCCCTTCTTTTTACAAAACCTACAAGTGTCCCTATCAATAGGTGGCTGGTTGGGAAGTGATCTACTTAGCTATTTGATCTTTAGGGCCACAAGTTTAAGTATTGCCTCATTTTTATCCTAAAGCCATTTCAAAATGTTATGTGAGGTGTTTTAGTTCAGATAACAGGGATATTTCCTATTCTAATTTCTTTCTTTGAATTAGGTGCCCAGTTTCAGGTTCAGCTCCATTGACAAAATGAGACGAAAGGGCTACTGTTCAATCAGCATCTTCTTTCACACCCACATGGTTTTGGAAGATATGTGTTTTAGTCTATCCTAAAAAATATCCCATAGTTTCGTCTTAACTTTTATTGCATGATTAAATGATGGCCCAATCGATGTTTATTAAAAATGTTTCATGTATGGTGTTCAGGAGATTTTGCCCTGCTTTTGGAGCTCCTTTTTGACTCTCAAGCTTATTGTGGAAAGAGGGATCCTGTAGGTCACATTCTGGGTAGGTCCAATCAGTTTTGCCATATAGGATTCAGCATCTGAGCTTCCAACCGACATGTGTACAAGTTAATATAGGTCAAGTAACTCTGGGTTATATGCACCAAAAAGAATTCTAAGTTCTTTTATGAGTATTTACTGGTCTTGTCTAGGTTTAGAGAAATCGTTATAGCTCTTAATTCAGCTTGAATCCAAGGTTTAGATTCCATAGTTCTCTGCATACCTAACATATGGGAAGGATGCATTTTTAGAGGCAACTGGCTTTGTTGGTTTTAGAAGAGTTGGGGAAAGGTAAAGGGTCTGGATGTGGGGAAGCAGATAGAGGGTTTGACAGAGCTGTGGAAGGAAAGAGATTGGAAGGATAAGAGGGAAGAGGGAGAATAGAATATAGGGAAGCAGCTAAAGGACAAGGAAGAAGAGGACTTACTAGGGAAATTACTTTGTTCCTTAAATTTGTCAAATTCCTCATAGCTTTGGTCAAAGAATGAAGTAATACTTTATTTAAACTTTCTTTGGAGGCCTCTGCATACCAATCAAAAAATGCTGCCCATGTGAACTGAGAAATTGTATTCCTTCCTTTTCTAAGGAACCTTTCAAAAGAACAATTTTGTGGAAGCCAAATGCCCCCCTCACCCCAAGTGCCCACTCAAGGTTTAAATCATACTTGGGAAAATAATGTCATTTGGAAAGATAAGTACTAGAGTAAGCACTGTCATGAGAGTAGATACATGAAGCAACAGTTTCCCCAGGAGAAAACAGATTTTAGATGATCCCATGAAAGCTGGCAGTGCTGGTAGAAATGAAATAAATGTTGATGCAGCTCACATCTCAAACCCCAAACTCATGATTGGTCACCTCCAAACATAGACTCAACAATCTGTGCCTCCTGGCACATGGAATACCATAGAGAATGCTCTCTCTGAATCAAAAAAGGAAAAAAAAAAAAAGCCCTCAGGACCAAAACTTGAAATAGAAAGAGAACCTCATCCAGTTTTACTGGTAACTTACAACAAAGTTTGTCCAAATGGGCAGTTGTGGTAAGAACAGCAAACTCATTGGTCTGTGAGGCTGCCATGAACAATAGGCTTTGAAGGCATATCTGTGTTCTATCATATGATTCTCCTTCTTATGACATGGCACTTTTAGGCAGCACTCCACAGAGCAGTCACACAAATGCAACAAAAAGGGATGAAAAGAATGGCTTGATTCCACCAATGATGCTAAACAAATGGGTGGGCACTGATAACAAAACCTGGATACCAAACTCAGAAGAAACGACCAAAAACTCAACAGGAAGAGAGTGGAGTTCAGGTCTGTGCTGACTTACCACTCACTGTGGACTTGACAAGCAGCGAGCAGTAAAGCACAATGGGTTCTGGGTGCCCAGTTGAAAACTGGAGGCCATGGTGATGGTCAATGCAAACTGTGTGTTGATGGAAACTCTGAAAAAGCTGTGGTAATAAATGAAGATCACTGAAATGAAAACAAACAAATGTTATTCAGACCTGAGATGAGCAGAAACTCAAATGCAGGTAAAGTAGTGGAAAGCTCTAGAGTGGAAAAAGGGAAGGCTTCAGGTGTGCCCTAATTGGAGCTGTTGGCTTGCAGAAGCTAGAGGACTAACTAGAAGTGGGCCATCCTATGTGATTGGTCAGGAGTACATATTTGGCTTTCTATGGTTCATCCTAAGTTAGAAGTATGGGCAAAAATTACGGAAGCTGGCAATTATTAACCAGGTCCTGATTTGGGACTGATGTTGAACAGGTTGTATTTGTCTTCTTAGACTAATTCCTATAGAGGCTGTGGGTCAGAGCTCTATTTTTGCATATGGTCTGGCCATTGCTTGCTTATATATTCAGTCCCTTACCACTCATTGAGTTTTTTGAAGCTGAGATGTCAATTGTATCAGTGGTATTGTCCATGGCATTGGTTACTACCCCAATAAGGATGGATGACTTGAGAATTCCACCAGATGTCCTTGGTAGTCCAAACAGTGGCCTATCTGGGGAAATATCTAGACCATGAATGGTCAGCTGGGATGATTAGTCCTTCTAGTTTTATAAAAAGTTCTTAGGCTTGAGCTTGCGATAACTTTTCAGATCTTGGAGGCAAAAACGAGTTACAAGGCAAATTTAGAGTCCAAATAAAAACCTGGCAATCAATTTGTAGTTCTCAGTAACTCCAAGTCAAGAAGGAGGCAGAAAAATTGGAAAGCTTGTTTAGAGGCTAAGATTAGTTCGTAGCCAAATATTGAAGGAAACTGGAAGAACTGAAAATTTGGTAAGGGTTGACAAGCTGTGCAAGGTGAGAAAATGCAGTCTAATTTAGAAGTAAACACCAAAAGGGTTTTTCCACAGGAAATGAGAAAGCTTGGTTACCAGACAAGACTAAATTTGCATACCGACCAGTTACCTGCAATTTACAGAGGTGCAAAAGAACTCAAAGATAATGAATAGGGTCAGAATCTGATGATCCAGAAGAGCTTGCTTAGTTTCCCACTGAAACACAAAACGCTCTTACAGTCCCTTTTCCCCTTTTGATCAAAGACAATCTCAAAGAAAGATTATTCTTGATCACAAAACAAGGCTGGTCTCTTTAGACATGTTTACACAGATGCAGCAAGGATAAGTCAACACATGAGTCTTCTATTTGCTTTGCTGGACATTTTCATAAAGAACCTCAGATTGGATTTTTCCAAAGCCTCTTGAGGATGGGAAGCCAAGCCAAAACTTCACCATCATTTTTCACCTGCAGTACCTAGTGATTTGGTGGGAAGTCCTCTCTTCCTGAGGTCCCCAAAATATCCTAAGATTCCTGAGCCTGCCTTGCTCACCTATAAGGCTGGGAACCCTGTAAAGCCAGTTACCAGGCCAGCTTCCCTAAGAGGGACTTTGTAAGCATTGGCCCCATACAGTCTACCTTAATTCCTAAAAAGTGTCTGGTCACATCTGATGAAACGAGCATCCTTCTCAACTATGACATTCTAGGCAATGCCAGCCTTGATTGCATAACCAGTGTTTCCAATTCTGTCCTATTAACAAGGTGGACAGACTCCTACTGAATCTATGCAAATAACCAGGGTGCCACGAAAACAGGAATCCTCAATAAGAGTTCCCCAAATTTTACCGGGTGAGTCAGGGCAGAAAAGATCAATGTTTCATTTCTGCTTTACAAGAGCACAGTCTAATAAATTGTTATGAGGGATAGATAGCTTGAGAGAAAAGAGAGAGTGGTTCCTTACATCCAGAAAACAGAGCATTAAAGCATCAGCACAGTTCCAAGCAAAGCCCATGTCCATCTAGTTTATTCAGTTTATTCAGTGCTTTGTAATTAATTCTTGCTCCACTTGATCTGGGTTAGTCATCTCATGAACACACCTGCTTCTTGACTAGAAGTCTGGGACTCCTGACTCAGTCCACTGGTATGATCTCATAATTATTGCAGCAATGCCATCAGCAGTCTGTACCCAAGAGTACCGCTTCACCAGGCTCTTAGACAGGGATCTGATCTGAGAATATTTGTTGAAGATGGAACACTCTGCCTTATAACCGATTCCAGGTGATTTCATGGAAGCATCAGGAGTAAAACAAAACATACAGGCTCTCTGTAGATGACAAAAGACTAGAAATGTCTATTGTTTGCTCACTGTTGATATTTTTCAAAAGAGAATGATCCGAAGAGGGTTCATTACAAGAATAATGCAATTGACAAGCATTTCTGATCGTTTCCGTGGCATGCAAAACAAACAAAGTCAATTCAAAAAAGTTTTTGACAAAATATGTGTAAGCACAAAGATTTATGCCTATTTTCAAAGAAGAGTAGAGATTACATCTAATTTATGAAAATAAACATACACTTCACAAAGAAAATATACCATATAAAAATCCTGAAACGTTAGATAACATAGATACCTAGCCCAAAGTTAGAATATACCAAGAATATATCAAGATTATCAAGTAAATAGATTCAGTACATCTAAAGTAGTTTCTAAATATCAATAGATTAATAAAATCGATAGATAGATGATGTGAATCCCCAGTATAACACTACCGCCTGAGGTACACTAGATTTGAGTTAAAAAGTAAAGTTGCAACCAAGTTAATGTTTTTTAAAAATAACTGAAATTATGAGTGCTAATACAATACTGCTTTTGTCTTATGGGCTAAGCAACATCAAGACTCTGATAAATAGAAACATATCATGAACAGCAAAGACATTGACCATTGTCTAGAACCTTCCCATACAGAACACAATTGTTTAAATATTTATGTTAATAACATTTTAACCATACAAATTTAACCTAGGGAAGTCTAGGCATTTCTTCTGATTTGAGAACATTTCCCATGTAACTCATCATCAGTGACATATCAAATAACCGTCATTATTCCTAACATTTCTCTTTTTACAAAAGAGATTTTTCAGAAACCCTCTGGGAAATCTCAAAAACAATTTTAGGTGCTGACAAGGCTAATCAAACTTTGAGCTTAACATAACTCTAAGACGGCAAGGCCCTCAAACCCATGTACATTTTCTGTACCTTAACTTGTTTGCTTGTCTCAAGTGCAGACCCCGCCCCATGTGCTTAACCACAAACCAATACTTCCTGCCTTGTCTTCCCTGTTAGTACAATATTTGATGAAGGCTAAGTTTCAAGAACCCCCTCCCACAGCAGCTTTCATCTCCCCTCCTCCTTTCCCAGGCATCTCTGCATTTAAAAGCTTTGCCCACCCATCCCTCCCCTGAGACATTTCTGACTTAGTCTTCGAGCATCTTCCTATTATGATACTCTTCTCCTTCTATTGCAATAACCCCCTTAAAGAAATCCTTCATACTAATGTCCAGATTGCATTTTTTTTCTTTGACATTGATGATGCTGTAACTCTGCCCCCAGGACGTTGCTTTCTTCACCCAGGGGTCAATGCCATCTTAGCAGATGCTGAGTCCTTTCCCGGCTGGGAGGTCGGGATCCACAGCGGTGAGTCTAACTCCCAGTACGGTGTTCCAAACATGTGTCTGTTGTAGCATGGTAAAGATTTGGCTTTATTCTTCATTTTTGTCTTTTTCTTTCCTTCTATTTCTCTGCCTTCTTCTGGCTTTCCTGGGTGTGAGTAAAGCCTCTGATTCTCTCCTGGGATATGACATCTTGGGTTAAGATCCTTAGAGCCAACAGGTATTCCTTTCATTATCATGGGAAACTGCCAATCTAACCATTGTTCCACACACTTTTCCCTGTGGGGGATGTGCATTCGAACCAATTTCACCCAATCTCTTCGAAATGACAAAATTTCACTAGGAAAAAAAAAAAAACTTAAAATTTCAATGGCTTCTTTGGGGAACTTAGGATCTTTGCGAATTGGCTCATTCTGAGCAAGGATCTGGAATCCCATGACTCCAAAATTGCATCCAAACAGTGGACTGCTTTTATTGTTTGGCACAAAGAAACAGAACAATATCTGTTCCACAAAAACTCTCAGAGACCACTGCTTCCTTCAAAGACCAATTCCCTTCCTCAGTGTCTTCTAAGACCTATGCCTTCCCATCACCATCCCCTAACTTCTGCCTCCTTTTTTCCATCCTCAACGTTCCCTTCAGCTCCCTAGAAGCCTTTGTTCTTCCCCCTTCAACACCTCTACCTCCTCCTCTCCACTATCCACCCCTGCCAGGCCTTCCCTTTCTCACTCAGGCTCCTCAACTCCCTGTAGACACCTGAGGCTTAAGTCCCCCTACACTGTTGGGGCTCTGAGGAGCTCAGTGACACCAAGAGCAAAAGCCTGTGGCTGAAAAAGCTGATTGGAAACACGTTGCATGTTTACTCCACTCAGATGGACTTTGGAGACCCCAGATGGCCACTTGGTTTCTCCTCCATTCCTCTCCCAAAATGCAGTCCACAGCCTCCATAGAATTACATGTGAGGGCAAAGAACATCTTAAGGGTCTCCTCCACAAATACTGGGGAAACGCCTTCAGCCTTTGCATTGAGCAAGTTACTTCAATTTGCCCCATCTGCCAAAAATATAATCTTTGTAAAAATATAGAAGTGAGGCAAGGAGTAGAGTCAGCTCTTTTCTATGAACCAGTGAGTTTTGAGTTTTTGTGTTTATGCCTGAACAAGAGTTAAAATTTTTTAATTAAAAATTAAAGCTAGAAGCTCTCTGTGCCTATCTATATGTGTGTATGTATGTATGTACGTTCTATTACGCGTGTGTAGTAGTTTCCTACCTCCAAATATTATTACCACATTAAACTCTAAAATTCCTTAAAGGAGCGCTTTTTGGATTGGTTAAGAGATAAATAAGAGTTTATATAATTTTAATATTCCTGAAATTCCCAGAAATTAAGACAATTACATCTCTAATATATTCAATATGGGGGAAAAAGTATTCTTATAGAAACTTACCAAAATGTTTTTTAAAATTCAAGGTCACATGATTTAGGTACATCTTTGACAAATGAGACTATTTTAATGTTGTTGGTTTAATAAATACAGTTACAACTTTTGAGTTATCAGCCTTGCAAGAATACATTTTTATTTTAATCAAGTATGTTCTTCCTAAACTCAATCAGGTTAAGTTTACTTTTTGCTTGGTAACAAGTATATTCTAACAATATGCTTGAACTGTTCATGGCATATCATGTCTCAGAGTTGTTATGTTGTATCTGATATTTTTTTCTCTGTAAAGATTATGCTTATCCATTTCCACAAATAAGATATAATATCCAGTGTTCTTTGAAAATAGGATTCATCATTCTGTTTGGCATGTTTCATCTAAAACTTTTTGAACTGACTTTTTTAAGTGTCACATGAACAATCATGTGTCCTTATCAATTGTACTATTTTAATAGTGAACTCTGATCAGATCTTTTACCTTTGAAAATTATAAAAAAATACATTAACCCTGGGGGCGGAGCAAGATGGCGGAGGAGCAGGAGACCTGGATTTCGTCTGGTCTCAGGAATTCAGCTGAATAGGGAGCAAACCACTCTGAACACCTACGAACTCAACAGGAGATCGAACAGGAGAGTAGCAACAACTCTCTGAACAGAGAAGCGACCACTTTCTGGAAGGTAGGACGTGCGGAGAAGTGAATCCGAGGCGATATTCGGGAGGATAGTCGGTGGGGGAGGGGGCCTCCGTCGGCCGGTTCCGGCAAGTGCTAGAGCCGCGGAGCACAAAATCGGACCTTTTAGAAGTTGGCTCCGCGGAGGGACGTCGCTCCAGTGGCTAAGCGGGGGGTGGAACCCTCGCGGGACAGTGTGGTCTCAGGACCCTCGGGGTCACAGAAAGACCGGGGATGTCTGAGTGCGGCAGAGCTCCCAGGTATAGGAGCGGGGAAGCCGGCTGCAGAGACGGAGCCGAGGCGCGGGCTCTCAGCTCGGGGTGGCCATAAACTGTGATCCGCGGCCCAGTCGGGCCACTGCTCCTCCAGCAGGGACCCAACAAGCAGCAGAGCCAGGGAGCCTCCCTTTCCTCCCCCAGGAGAAGTGGCGCGGGAGCGCACCGCAGGGATCTGCTGGTTTTGGAGACTCCACACAGGGTCGGGTGCCAGAGATAGAAACCCTCAGTCACAGGCTGGGTGAGCACGGAGTGCGGCCGGAGACCAGGGAGATGGGAGTGATTGACTGCTTTTCTCTGGGGGCGCACTGAGGAGCAGGGCCCCGAGTTCTCAGCTCCTCTGAGCAGAGAGTGGGAGGCCACCATTTTCACCCTGGTCCTCCAAAGCTGTACCGAGAGCTTGCAGGGAAAAAAAGCTCCTGAGAGCAAACCCCAGCAGCTTGCTTAGCCTGGACCGACAAGGGCTGGGCAATTCCACCTCCGGCAAAGACATTTGGGAACCACGGCAACAGGCCCCTCCCCCAGAAGATCAGCATGAACAGCCAGCCAGCCAAGACCAAGTTTACCGATCAAGGAGAACAGGAGAACTCCAGCGCTAGGGGAACACTGCACATAGAATTCATGGCTTTTTTACCATGATTCACTAGTTTTTCAAAGTTAATTTTTTAACTGTGTTTTTTTTAATTTTTCAACCAACATCTTATCAATCCCTTTTTAAAAAAAACATTTTTTATTTTTCATTTTTAGAGTCATATTTTATGCCTTCGTAGTAGTTACCCTTATTTTTGGCATATATATATAAGTTGTTCTCTCTTTAAAATTTTGAGATACAGTTTCTTCTAACAGATCAAAATATACCCTAAATCACTAGTGTATGGCTTTGTGCTAGTCTCCTGCCTGATCACATTCTCTTTTTTTTCTTTTCTTTTTTTTTTTAAACTTCTTTCTTTTTTCAAACAACTTCTTATCAATTCCTTTTATAAAATCTTTATAATTTTCATCTTTACAGTCATCTTCCATCCCTTCATTGTATCAACCCTTATGTTGTACATATAGGAGTCTTTCTTCCTTTAAAATTTTAGGAGGCACTTTCTTCTAAAGGACCAAAATACAGCCAAAATCTAGTGTGTGGCACTTATCTATGCACTAGCCTGATCATATTTGATCATATTCTGTTTTTTTTGTTTTGTTCTGTTTTTGTTTGTTTTTATCTTTTCTTTTTCTTTCTTTTTTTTTCCCCTCTTTCTTTTTTCTTTCTTTCCCTTTCTTTTCCCCTGGTTTCAGGTCTTTTCTGATTTATATAGAGTATATTTGCGGGGGATATCGTTAACCTGTTCGCATTTTGTTCTCTCATTCATCTATTCTCCTCTGGACAAAATGACGAGACGAAAAAAATCACCTCAGCAAGAAGAACAAGAGGTAGTACCGTCTGCCAGGGACCTACTCAATACGGACATTAGTATGATGTCGGACCTAGAGTTCAGAATCATGACTTTAAAGATACTAGCTGGGCTTGAAAAAAGTGTGGAAGTTATTAGAGAAACCCTTTCTGGAGAAATAAAAGAACTAAAATCTAACCAAATCGAAATCAAAAAGGCTATTAATGAGGTGCAATAAAAAATGGGGGCACTAAGTGCTAGGATAAAGGAGGCAGAAGAGAGAATCAGCGATATAGAAGACCAAATGATGGAAAATAAAGAGGCTGAGAGAAAGAGAGATAAACAACTACAGGACCACGAGGGCAGAATTAGAGGGATAAACGATACGATAAGATGAAACAACCTTAGAATAATTGGGATCCCAGAAGAAGAAGAAAGAGAGAGAGGGGCAGAAGGTATATTGGAGCAAATAATAGCAGAGAACTTCCCTAATGTGGGGAAGGAAACAGGCATCAAAATCCAGAAGGCACAGAGAACCCCTCTCAAAATCAATAAAAATAGGTCAACACCCCGACATCTAACAGTAAAACTGACGAGTCTCAGAGACAAAGAGAAAATCCTGAAAGCAGCTCGGGAGAAGAGATCTCTAACCTACAATGGTAGAAACATTAGATTGGCAACAGACCTATCCACAGAGACCTGGAAGGCCAGAAAGGACTGGCAAGATATCTTCAGAGCACTAAACGAGAAAAATATGCAGCCAAGAATACTATATCCAGCTAGGCTGCCATTGAAAATAGAAGGAGAGATAAAAAGCTTGCAGGACAAACAAAAACTAAAGGAATTTGCAAACACGAAATGAGCCCTACAAGAAATATTGAAAGGGGTCCTCTAAGCAAAGAGAGAGCCTAAAAGCAGCCTAGATCAGAAAGGAACACAGACAATATACAGTAAGAGTCACCTTACAGGCAATACAATGGCACTAAATTCATATCTTTCAATAGTTACCCTGAATGTAAATGGGCTAAATGCCCCAATCAAAAGACACAGGCTATCAGATTGGATTAAAAAACAAGACCCATCAATATGCTGTCTGCAAGAGACTCATTTTAGACCCAAACACACCCCCACATTGAAAGTGAGGAGTGGAAACCATTTACCATGTTAATGGACACTAAAGAAATCTGGGGTGGCAATCCTTATATCAGACAAATTAGATTTTAAAACAAAGACTGTAATAAGAGATGAAGAAGGACACTATATCCTACTTAAAGTGTCTATCCAACAAGAGGATCTAACAATTGTAAATATCTGTGCCCCTAACATGGGAGCAGCCAATTATATAAGGCAATTAATAACAGAAGCAAAGAAACACATTGACAACAATACAATAATAGTGGGGGACTTTAACACCCCCCTGACTGAAATGGACAGACCATCTAAGCAAAAAAATCAACAAGGAAATAAAGACTTTAAATGACACACTGGACCAAATGGACTTCACAGACATATTCAGAACATTCCATCCCAAAGCAACGGAATACACATTCCTCTCGAGTGCCCATGGAACCTTCTCCAGAAGTGATCACATTCGAGGTCACAAGTCAGGTCTCAACCGGTACCAAAAGATTGGGATTAGTCCCTGCATATTTTCAGACCACAATGCTTTGAAACTAGAACTCAATCACAAGAGGAAGTCGGAAAGAACTCAAATACATGGAGGCTAAAGAGCATCCTACTAAAAGAATGAATGGGTCAACCAGGAAATTAAAGAAGAATTTAAAAAATTCATGGAAACCAATGAAAGTGAAAACACAGCTGTTCAAAATCTTTGGGATACAGCAAAGGCAGTCCTGAGAGGAAAGTATATAGCAATACAAGCCTTTCTCAAGAAACAAGAAAGGTCTCAAATACACAACCTAACCCTACACCTAAAGGAGCTAGAGAAAAAACAGCAAATAAAGCCTAAAGCCAGCAGGAGAAGAGAAATAATAAAGATTAGAGCAGAAATCATTGAACTAGAAACCAAAAGAACAGTAGAACAGATCAACGAAACTAGGAGCTGGTTCTTTGAAAGAATTAACAAGATTGATAAACCCCTGGCAAGCCTTATCGAAAAGAAAAGACAAATGACCTAAATCAACAAAATCATGAATGAAAGAAGAGAGATCACAACTAACACCAAAGAAATACAAACAATTATAAGAACATATTATGAGCAACTCTATGCCAGCAAATTAGATAACCTGGAAGAAATGGGTGCATTCCTAGAGATGTATCAACTACCAAAATTGAACCAAGAAGAAATAGAAAACCTGAACAGGCCTTTAACCACTAAGGAAATTGAAGCAGTCATCAAAAATCTCCCAAGAAACAAAAGCCCAGGGCCAGATGGCCTCCCAGGGGAATTCTACCAAACATTTCAAGAAGAATTAATAGCTATTCTCCTGAAACTTCCAAAAAATAGAAATGGAAGGAAAATTTCCAAAGTCATTTTATGAGGGCACCATTACCTTGATTCCAAAACCAGACAAAGATCCCATCAAAAAGGAGAATTACAGACCAATATCCTTGATGAACATGGGTGCAAATATTCTCACGAAAACACTAGCCAATAGGATCATACAGTACATTGAAAGGATTATTCACCATGACCAAGTGGGATTTATCCCTGGGCTGCAAGGCTGGTTCAACATCCGCAAATCAATCAACATGATACAATACATTAACCAAAGAAAGAACAAGAATCATATGATCCTCTCAATAGATGCAGAAAAAGCATTTGACAAAGTACAGCATCCTTTCTTGATCAAAACTCTTCAGAGTATAGGGATAGAGGGTATATACCTCAATATCATAAAAGCCATCTATGAAAAACCGACAGCGAATATCATTCTCAATGGGGAAAAGCTGAGAGCTTTTCCCCTAAGGTCAGGAACGCGGCAGGGATGTCCACTCTCACCACTGCTATTCAACATAGTATTAGAAGTCCTAGCCACAGCAATCAGACAACAAAAAGAAATCAAAGGCATCCAAATCGGCAAAGAGGAAGTCAAACTCTCACTCTTTGCAGATGATATGGTACTGTATGTGGAAAACCCAAAGGACTCCACCCCAAAACTGCTAGAACTCATACAGGAATTCAGTAAAGTAGCAGGATATAAAATCAATGCACAGAAATCAGTGGCATTCCTATACACCACCAACAA